AAAATAGTGGGGGGGGGAGGGATTCTTTGTGAGTCAGACAGTCTGCATCCTGTGTCAGGGTTCCCCAAGAACATGGAGCTGAGAGGTAACAGTGCAGCACTTTGCACTTGTCTTTGTTCAACTGCATCCTATTTCGTTCTGCCCATTTTTCCAACCTGTCCAGATTTTCCTGGATCCGTTCCCTACTGTCTGGTGTGTTAACTTTGCCCCATAACTTGGTATCATCTGCGAACTTGGACAGGGTGCTCTTCACACCCTCATCCAAGTCACTAATGAAGATATTGAATAGCACTGGTCCAAGGACTGAGCCTTGCGGGACTACACTGCCCCCATCTTTCCAGGTCTCCTTCTGTGCCTGGAAGATCGCTTCTTTGAGGAATGACCACCCTTCCTGTACCCCCATTTGGCCAATGATCTTGAGCTTTAACGCCACACTAACTAATCTGCTGAGCACACTACATTTAGCTTTTTTGAAGTCTAGCACTTCAGCCCTGCTGGTTGGTTTACCCACCCTTCGCCAGGTAGTGAATTCAATAAATCGATGGTCACTATCCCCTAGGTTACCTTGTACCTGCAGATTCCCCACCAGGTCATCCCCTGTAGCTGACACTAAGTCCAGCAAGTCGTTTCACCTAGTGGTATTGTATACCTCTTGGATTAGGTGGAGGTCTTGTATGCAGGTTAAAAACCTACGTGAGCAGTTAGATTTGGCTGGCTGCTCCTCACAGCAGATGTCAGGGGAGATAATGGCATGGCCAGTTAAATCCTGGTTGACTGACTGGGTCAGAGATGATGTAGTGATTGATTGGTGCTTGCACTGACCATTCCTCATACCATTGAGTAAGTAAGGGAAAGTGAAAGGATTTTGAAAGGGTGGACTATGTTGGGTGTCTTGAGGGGAACCGAGCTACTGGTGGGTGGAATATGTCCCAATGCACTGGCAGTGTAGGATTATCCAGGAGTCTGGCTAGTAAGTTTGCTTCAGCATTTGTGTGGCATAGATACAGGGGGCCAACATTACTGGAACAATGTGACCCAAGAACCATGGGAAGTGAGTGGGGCACAATGTGCCTAGCACAAGACTCACTGTATCACACAGCTGGGTGTCCACTAGTTTGGTGTGCAATGAATGCGCCCATACAGGAGCACACCCTTCTGCAGCTGAATAACACAGTGCACTCTCAGTGCACTGATAGTTGTGTTAGTGGGCAGCACTCCCACGTCCCTCTGCCAGAGCCTTTGCCTCACACCTAGCCAGTTTGCCGACTGACACAGATGTCGCTCCTTCTCTTTTAGAACTGGGTCTCCCAAGAAGAGGATGCTGCCTGGTGCTGGGGTTCATGTATAAGGAGAAGTACAGGAGAATGACTGAAGGTAAGAAACATCCCTGACCTTCTCCAAAGCCACCACCGCACTCCCTCACAAACTACCCAGCAGTTCCTATCTGTCTCCACTTCTCTGCTAATTTCTATCTCTCTCCTCTTCATCATCTCCCCCATCCCTTCATTTTCACACACCATCTCTCCCAAGGTCCCTTCCTCTGTCACCCTGCCCTTGTCCACCCTTCTGCCCTCAAGCAGGTCTTCCAATAAGAAAGGTGTATGCGTTGTGCTGCACCCATCGCCATGCATGTGGCTGGACTCTTGTTACTGCTTACTGAGAAAAATCATGCAACTTTCTCACGGGTGGCAGAGGTTCCCCAAAGTAGCAGAGCCAGAGCCGAAGAAGCTGGGAGCCCTTGCCTGACCCAGCACTGTGGAGGGATGGTGGTGCTGAGGGAGGAGCAGGGCAGTGGATCTCTTACCACAGATCCCCTGATGGTTCCCAGGTCCTGAGGAAGAGGCTTGCAGATGTCACGGTGGGGCTAGTGGAGCTCTAAGACTGCATAAGCAGCCATGGTATGGGCTAGCTACTGGGCTGCAGCCTCACACATGGTGTTTCCTGCTGTTGACCCTGAAGAGAAGCCCCGCAGGCAGGCCTGTTACTCTGTCCACAAGCATTGCACCACCTGAAACCCAAACTGTAACAATCGTCAGCACTTGGTCTATCCACAGTGTAGATGTTCTTGTGATTGCTGTGTAGCATAAACATGCCTGCAGTGATGCAGGCGGTAGTGAATGACAAAACTTCCATGGACTTTAGGAGTCCAAGATCTGACCTCTGACACAGCAGCATGGTTTAGTGTTTACCACATGTAAGTGGGAAGTGAAAGACATAAGCTCTAGTTTCAGTGCTGCCACTGGGTAAGCTGAGACCAGTCATTTAATCTTCCCATTCCTCAGTGTCCTTATCTGTAAATAGGGTTTGTGATGTTTTCCTTTCTCAAGGGCTGTTATGGTGGTTAACTGGCATGTGTAAAGCACTTCCACTATGTGAAACACAATGTACTGTATGGACTTAATATTTTTATTTAATTCCTGTATGTGAAAGCCTTGCACTGGAAAATCATTCTGGTCAGCATAGTGACTAATAAGTCACATTTGCAAAAGTAACAGGCAGTTAAAGACCTAAGTCTCCTTGAATGCCAGTGGAATTTGGGATCCTTTGATACCCAACACCTCAAAGGTATTGAGCTGCCCAATTCTTATTGATTTCATTGGGAGTTTGGATCTGGATAAGTGCCCAGCACCCAGATTTTCAAAGTTTCTTTGCGTTCCCTAAAGATGCAGGTAGGTAGGTGGGTACCTGCTGAAAGTCTCAAAAGTGCCTACGCAGGTCTCACTCCTGATTCCACTGACATCAATGGGTATCACCTGCCTCGGCTCCTTAGGTGCTTTTGAATATCCCACAGGCTGCCTTTTGCATCTGTAAGAACCCAAATGTGTTTGCAAATCTGCTAATAAGTGGGTTGCCAAACTGCTGTCTCCTGCAGGTAGGTTTTGCTCCCTGAGGAGCTTCTCAGGCAGTACTCCCAAATAAAGCACAGTCTTTGAGCATTCAACCAAAGAACAAATTAACAAAACCAAACCCTTCTGCCCTGTTCTGGGTACTAGGAGGGGAGGACCCCTTAGGCTCTGACCCCAGCACAGCAGCCTAACCCCTCCTTAGTAGTCAACTTGTTCTGCTCACAATTTGCCTTCTGCTTGCAAAATTTTCCCTCACCGTTTGGTGCCTTCTGCTATCTCCCCTCAGTTTTAAGTTCCCAGTAGGATGCTAACCCATTATCCAAGTGCCCTGCAATCTGGGTTTTCTCAACAAGGCTGACTGGTCCCTCTTAGAGTCTGTCCTGTTACACCACCCCTCTGTAAAATAGCACTTCCCTACCTCTAATCAGTGTAGCAAGCAGAGTTTCATGAATGCCTTTGCAATGCCACTAAGCACCCAGCAAGAAGTGCAAAGTTTTATTATTGTGTATTCCAGTCATCTCTAAAATGATGAATAAGTATTGATTCATCCATAAAAAGGCCATAAATAATTATGAATAGTAATAATTAAACAATAAAAATATTTACACTTAAAAGAATAAATGCTCTTCGTACTTCCGGCACTTGAGAGTTTTGTGGAGTCAAAGCCCAGCAAAAGCGCTTCCACACTGCAGCACCATCTGTGATTAATGTCAAATCAGAAAATTGACAGAGATTACTAAAGCAACACTAAATGCGAGATTGGTATCAAGTGCACAGGAAGGAGAGTTGGGCTATAGTAGGGTTACTGCTCAAGGTGTGATCCCTCTAGACACAAGAACCCCCAAATCCTTGCTCAATGTTGGAATTAGAAAGGCAATCAGAATAGGTTGCAAAGTTTTAGGTTTCAGAGTCCCCCACCCTTTTTACTTATGCCAAGTAGCACATTACCCCGCTAATTCAAGCAGGACATCTCAAAGAAAGGTTTGTTCTTACCTAGATTTAGCTAACATGTGGTCACTACCAGGGCCTAAAACTCCAAAGATGTCAAAGCACTTATAGTTTCAACACTGAAGCTCACCCTGTAGTCTTGACTTGGACCTGCTGACATGTGAAAACTAAGGTACATTGCTATGACTTTATCTCATGTTAACTATCTCATGGGCTAACTGACTGAAGCTAAAAGCGCTTCTTTAATATCCTTAGAAAAGATGCAGCCTAAGGATATGTCTGTGCTGACACATAGGATCAACCCTCAAAGTCTCTCAACCAGCCTGAGCCACATGAACCATCACTCCCCATATCTCTCTTATACTGCTATTGCTGCACAGTCTGCTTCCTATTCCTCAAGCTGACCCTTTCTAGGAATCAGTCTGTAGACAGCTTCTCTCCATTTGCCCTTGCTTTGATTAAGGGCAGTAGAGACAGGGAGCAGAAGGGCCAGAAGTCAGGAACAGAAAGTTGTAGCATTGCTAGTGGTAGACTTCCACGAGTTTAGGGGTGCTGATACACATGCTCTGACGCATTCAAAGTAGAACGCGTTGGCGTCTTCTGAGTAGAAGCAACCTCGCAGCATCATGTGTGGAAGCCCCTGTGGGTTCAAAAATGTTTGCTGGGGCATTTTAACTAGAGCTCATCAATTGAGCTTTAGTTAAAGCATCCTGCAGCCATTTTAAACCTGTGGGGGCTTATTACACATGACTTCAGTGTTTTAATTACAGCGGCTCTCTGCAAACTGTTCTAATTTAAATGTCCCCCTTGCGAGCATGTGTATACGCACCCCCTGTGTTTGCTGCCTATAATGCAGGGATTCTCAACTAGGGTACTGTGGCACTCTGGAGTGTCTTAAGATCCCAGGACATGTGGGACAGTTAAGATCTCGGGACAGCTGGTAACAGATGCTCAGGAAAAAACTGAACTCCTGAATGCCCACTTTGCTTCAGTATTTCACCAGACCAAGGGGAAAGTCAAGTGAGATAAGGATCACAGGGGGCATGGTGGGAATGATAGCCTTCCCACTGTGGATGCTGAGCTGGTGTAAAACCAACTAGAAAAGCTAGACATTTATAAGTCAGCAGGACCAGATAGACTTCATCCGAGAGTGGTGGAGGAGCTGGCTGATGTCATTGTGGAACCCCTGGCAAAGAAATTGTGGTGCACAGGGGAGATCCCTGAGGATTAGAAGAGGGCCAACATTGTGCCCATCTTCAAAAAGGGAAGAGGCAGGACCCGGGCAACTATAGGCCAATCAGCCTAGCCTCCATTTCAGGGAAAATCCTGGAAAAACTCATTAAAGAATCTACACGTAATATGCTCGTTGAGGGTAAGATTCTGAACGACAGCCAGCATGACTTCATCGCGGGTAGGTCTTGTCTTACCAATCTCATCTCCTTCTACAAACAGGTCTCTTTCCTTTTACAAACAGCTGTTCACCAGGGCACCCTGGGGAAGACCAGGAGTAATGACAACAAACTCCTGGAAGGCCACTTCATGCTCAATTCCAGAAAAAACTCCTTCGCAGTCAGGGTGTCCAGACTGTGCAATAAGCTCCCTCCAGAGGTTGTGCAGTCACTTGCCCTGGAAATCTTCAAAAGGAGACTGGACAGTCACCTCGCTGGGGTCACTTGACCCCAGTTGTCTTTTCCTGCTTAGTGCAGGGGGGCTGGTCCCAATGATCTACAAGGTCCTTTCCATGCCCTAACAATCTATGAATCTATGCATTCTTTCAAGGGTGCTGCAGGGTGCCACACAATGTTATCACTGTTATGTGTGCAGACATGGGTCACAAGATAAACCCAGAGATTTCAAATAGGAATCCATGGTATTAAAAAAACAACCAACCCCTCCCCTCCCCAAAAAAACAAAAACAACAAACATTCTGATCTTTTGTGGTTCTTTGCAACAGAAGAATTGCTCTATTATCTTTCTATAGTAAAAAAAATAGTGGAAACCAAGAGCTGGCATTTTCCAAGACATGCCTTGAGTCTCTGGAGTCTAGAAGTCTGAGAACCACTGCTATAGTGCCTCTGTGGTTTTAACCCACTGCAAAGAGACATGGGCCAGAAGTAGATTCAGCCTCAGGTCCTGAAGGTCAACATAGCTTTTCTGCCACTGTAGGGTGAGCTCACTTGGGAGGGGGAACTTAGTGATTTTCAACATACATTGTCAGTGGTACAGGCTTGAGGATGGCCCTAGGGTTCACCCTAAGAAGCAGGAGATTTACCTTAAGGGTCTGCTCCATAGAAGTAAAGACAATGGGGTCTAGTCCTGAGCTTGCCTCTTCTTGCAATATTTTCATGCACCTTGTAGGGCCTGGGACCAGGAGCAGCAGTGTATGAATACTCTCAGAGGATGCCCTGAGATATCTGAGATCCAATAGGAACAAGGGCACATTCATGTACATTCACCTAGGCCAAGGGTTAGTGAGGAACTACTTAGGGAACTTCTGGAGGGACTGGATGTATTCAGATCAGCTGGTCTGAATGGTCTCCACCCTAGAGTACTGAGAGAATTGGCTGAGGTCATTGCAGG